CTTCTCCTCCTCCTCCATATCCTCCTCGCCCATTTTTCCTCTTCCTCCCTCGCCTCATCCTCATCCTCGTCGATTCTTTTCCCCCCATCCTTCATTTCCTCCGTGTCCCCCTCCTCTTCCTCCTCACCGCCCTTGTCCACCTCGGCCCCCCGGTGGCTTCAAAACTGTTTTCCAGAGGTCCCCGAAAGGCGTGCCGCGAAATCGCTGTACACATAGCGAGCCTCATCTCAATGTCCCCCCCTCCTCGTCCTCCTCCACCCTCTTCTCGCCCCCCTCCTCCTCGTCCCCCTCCTCTTGTTCCTGGTCCGCTTCACCTCGTCATCCTTGATGATTCGCACCCCCCCCCCTCCCCCCCCCCGCCCCCCTATCCTCCGCCTCGTCCCCCATTCTCTTGTCCCCGTCCTCCTTGTTCTCACCAGTGCGCGCGCCCGGGTCGACATCATTTGCACGTCTTGCAATCCAGGGTGCCTTTTTTGGCGTCTCGCGGGACATTGTGCGGGTCGGGGAACGCCGGCTTTGGTAGCCTTCTCTTGCACGCGCCGCTGCACTGATACGTCGGCGACTCCTCCACGGGCTCTCCTGCGCCGCCGGCCCGGGCCGCGGTCCCCCGGCACGCGCTCCGCCGTTGCGCGGCCGCGCGCGCGGTCTCGCTGGTGCTCGGGCTCGGACCAGAGGCGGAAGCGCACGAACGACGAGGTGGGGCGGTGGCGCGAAGGGCCCAGATCTCCGACGTCTCGAAAAAATCGTGACGAAAGGCTTTTGGCGACTTTCGGCCTGCGGGGGCCCTCGTAGGGCCCCGGGACCGTCAGAAAACGACCCGAGACGAAAAGCCGGTCCTCGGGAAGTCGTCGGGGCTTCCGGGGACCGCGTCTCGAAAATAATCGAGAGATAGGAGGTCAGGGATGGGGCGGTGGCGCGAAACGGGGAAGCCGGGGCTCAAGTAGCCGACGATGGAACCAAGACGCCCCAAGAGGCCCCCAAGACCGCCCCAAGACGGCCCGAGAGGCCTCCAAGAGAACCCGAAGACAACCCACCTCCTCCACCACCTCATCCTCCTCCTCCCTTTCCTCCTCCCGACCCGAGATCCGCCCAAGACCTTCCAAGCCCCTATTCGACGTCCATCACGCGACCATTCGTGTCTCCACGCGCTCCCCGTGATGATAGCGCCGTCCAATTTGTCGGCTGCGGACCATGGGGTGGTTCAAGGGGTCGGCGGATGTGGCGTAAGCCTGTAGAATCTTTTCCTCCCCTGAGCCGTCAGCGTCGTCATCGCCATCGCCGCCGCCGTCGCCGCCGCCGTGGCCGTGGCCGCCTTCGCTGCGCCGTGGCCGTCGCCGCCGCTACAACGGCGCGAAACTGAGCCCTGGGCCCTCTGCCGCAGCGCCTCCGCCTCGCCCCTGGCGTCCTCGCGCGCACTGGCCGCCTTTGGGGGGCGAAGGGGGGAGCTTAGGGCGGGTTTGCGTCGTGTCGACCCCAGCGCTGGTTCCGGACACCGCGGGGATCGTTCCACCTTGAAGGATCGGCCGTCTCCGAAACGTCAGCTTGTTCAGCTTCGACCAGATCTGGGCCACCAGCGGCGTTGAACCCTGAACACCGGCGGCGGAGTCGCCGCCGGTCAAACCTCGGACAGAAGGACATCCTTCAGGAACTTGAGACCCTCCGCCTGCCAAACAGAAGACCATTCGAGGGTGCCCTAACCCAGGATGCACAAGAACCTCCAACAAGCACCAAAAACATGATGGTACCCTCCCCGAACCGACCTCGGTCTTATTATACCTCGGTCCGACTGTAGGGGAACGGTGGCTCAGGGGGAGAAGCATAGACCTGAAATCGGCGATCCACCACCGACAGATCGACACGATGCCCCCGCCGAGAGGCAAACCACAGCCTCCTGGGCTGGGCGGGCTGGGCGGGCTGTCGGCCCCGACTGGCGATCAGTGGGCGATTGGGGGTCGGTGCATCCCCCCTGAGCCTGCCCCCCCAAATGACGTTGCTTGGGCGTGGCTTATTGGGGGGGTCACAGATGGGGGGGTCGGAAACGGTCCCCTTTCCTGCCCTTTTCGGGCCCCTCCGGAGCCCCAGGGGGCTCGTTTGGGTACCGTTTGGGTACCTTTCTCGGACCACCCTCGCCCCCCCCCCTTTACGACCCCCCCATTACGCGACGCCCAAGCTCCGGCGGGGAGGTGCCAGGCGCAGCGCGGGCCACCGTGGTCGAGGTAAGGCGACCCGGAAGACGGCCAGCCTCCGAGGCCGGAGACGCCTCCGGAGCCACCGCCGGGAGGAGTCGCTCTTCGGGGACCTCGGCGGGCGGCGGCTATGGCACTGTCGGTCCCTGGGAGGGCCGAGCACGTCCATGTGAGCATCCGCTCACCGACCCCCGGTCCCCATGGGCGTGGCCAGGGCCCCACTGGCCGATGGGGCTGTGGGCCGTTTCCCCTGGGCTTCGAGAGGTAACCATATCCCCGGCTGGGAGGGTGAGATGGTGGGAGTCTGAATGGGGCTGGGAATGGGCATCGGCTAAACGATGCTGGGCATCACCACCGCCTGCCGAGGCCCCCGAAGAGCGATCCCCCAGGCGATGGCTACGGACAAAGAGGTCCCGCCCCGCACCGTCGGAGCGACGGCGGCCCTGCCCGCGCGCAGTGCCGTGCTCCTGGGGCCTGTTGGAGGCTTCTCGTCGCCGCGGCCGGGGAGAGAGAGAGAGAGAAGCCGGCAGAGCATGGTGAGAAGCACTCCACCACCAATGGCGCGGTCGCACAGTGAGACGGCATGCGGCGGCGAGGAGGCGAGGAGTTCTCGTCGCCGCGGCGGGAAACGTCTCGAAAGACGGGTCAGGATGGACCCTGGGAGGGTCCGGGGGCGGCTTTTGAGCGGATTGGGGCCGCGCGCGAGGGCCGCCGTTGTCTCATGTGGCCCTCCCCCGAACGACAGCAGCAAGAGGACAACATTGGTACGCGAGGAATCTGGCAGGGGGGCGTCGGCTTCAAACCTGCTCAGGTTCCTCGTCCTAGGATCGGCGTGCACGCCCTCCTCGGAGGGCAGAAGAAGCAGTATCACAACAAGCACTCCGACGAGCGAAGCCGCTTCGCAGACGCACGGGAGGCAGGAGTCGAAGAGGGCAGGGCCGCTCAGCAAACGCCCAGGACGGCTGAATTCACCACCACTTGTGAGGGGGTCGGGCTGGGGTTGCCTCCCTCGACTCCTGGCTGGGCCAGGAAGGCACCAGGGCTGGACGGTGCTTTGGCGATATCGTGGGCCGTTTTCGTTCCGACTTCGTTTTGCGATAAAGGCGGATTGAAGACAAAACGAGGGAAAACGAAAACAAAACGAAAACGAAACATACCGTTTAGGTTCAGCCCTGGAAGGCACTTGCACCGATCCCGGGCCGCAGGGACAGCCGTCTGGCCTCCGCGCGGTGCGCGCCTCGCGCGGCAGCCTCTGCGCCCTCGCGCGCGGCCCCCTGGAGGGGAACGCCACACCCCCTCCGCCCAGACCGCGCGGCGCGAACACCCTCGCGCCTCCCTCCCTCCCTCCCTCCCTCCCTCCCTCCCTCCCTCCTCCCTCCCTCCCCCTCCCTCCCTCCCTCCCTCCCTCCCTCCCTCCCTCCCTCCCTCCCTCCCTCCCTCCTCCTCCTCCTCCTCCTCCTCCTCCTCCTCCTCCTCCTCCTCCTCCTCCTCCTCCTCCTCCTCCTCCTCACTCCTCCTCCTCCTCCTCTCCTCCTCCTCCTCCTCCTCCTCCTCCTCTCCTCCTCTCCTCCTCCTCCTCCCTCCTCCTCCTCCTCCTCCTCCTCCTCCTCCTCCTCCTCCTCCTCCTCCTCCTCCTCCTCCTCCTCCTCCTCCTCCTCCTCCTCCTCCTCCTCCTCCTCCTCCTCCTCCTCCTCCTCCTCCTCCTCCTCCTCCCTCCTCCTCCGCCTCCTCCTCCTCCTCCGCTCCTCCTCCTCCTCCTCCTCCTCCTCCTCCTCCTCCTCCTCCTCCTCCTGGGGCGGGCAAAGCAAGCAGCACACATCAAGGACACACCGCCGTGGAAAAGCCACCAACGTTGCTGCAGCCGGAGGAGCACCAGGCCTTCCGACAGAAAGGAGGGCGCACTGAGATGACGGGTGCCCAGCGGCGGCGAGTCGTTGATCTATTCTGTCGGCCGCTGCATCCGGCGCCGCGGCCTGCCTGAGAAGCTCCGAGGGAGTTCGGGCACGCTCTGGAACTCTCATGGCGTGCGGAGCGCTCTGGAACACTCGGCGGCCCTGCGCTGGCCCTGCTGTCCGGGTGGGCAAGGTCTCCGTGACGACAAGGCTCGACCAAAACAGTGCTTTTCGTTTTCGCTTTGTTCTCGTGTTTCCCTCGTTTTGCCTTCGTTCCGCCTCCGTTGTTGAACGAAGGCAAAACGAAAACGGTCCACGAAATCACCTAAACATCCTTCAGGTCGACCCCTGCATGACAAGATTGCGCCACATTTGGCCAGAGCTCGCGGGGCGCTCGCCTCTTCAGCGGTCTCGCCCTGGCGCTTCTCCAGGGCGTCCATTCTCGGCAGCAGCGGGCCCACCACCTGCTGGGTCTCTTCGGCGAGCTCGCCCTGGCGCTTCTCGAGGGCGTCAATCCTCGGCAAGAGCGGGTTGGCCGCCTGAACCTCTTCAGCGAGCTCGCCCTGGCGCCTCTCCAGAGAATCGATCCTCGGCAGGAGAGGGTCCACCAACTGCTTAGCCTCGTCGGCGAGCTCGCACTGGCGCTTCTCGAGGGCGTCAATCCTGGGCAGGAGGTGGTCCACCGCCTGGGCCTCTTCGACGATCTCGCCCTGGCGCTTCTCCAAGAAATCGATCCTCGGCAGGAGTGGGTCCACCAACCGCTTCGCCTCTTCGGCGATCTCGCCCTGGCGCTTCTCCAGGGCATCGATCCTCGGCAAGAGAGGCTCCGTCGCCTGGGCCTCTTCGGCGATCTCGCCCTGGCGCTTCTCCAGAGCGCCTACCCTCTCCAGGAGCGGTGCGGTCGCCTGCTGGGAGCTGATCGTCGCCACGGCGATCTCGCCCTGGCGCCTCTCCAGGGCGTCCATCCTCGGCAGCAGCGGGCCCACCACCTGCTGGGTCTCTTCGGCGAGCTCGCCCTGGCGCTTCTCGAGGGCGTCAATCCTCGGCAAGAGCGGGTCAACAGCCTGCGGAGTAAGACGAAGCCAGGACGAAGGTAAAATTGGGTGAGGAACCCGTGAGAATCTCTGGGATATGGCGGCTCTGGAGGATGCATCGGGCGCCGCGGCCTTCTCAGAGCGATCCAGAACGCTCTGAGAGCGTTCCAGAACGCTCTGGAACGGATTTATCCTCGTCCCAGCCCCTTCCGATCAATCCCAGTCGGCGCAGGATCGCACGGAGAACGCGCTCCCCCGGGTCAAAATCTGCTGAAGACTGGCGCTGGATGACTCCTGGAATCGAAATGTGTCTCGGACCGGGCTGCATCGGCACGGACGGAATCGACATCGGGTCTAGGAAGTAGGGCGCGTCTAAGAGGCCTTCCCCCCTCCCCATGCAGAGACTCTCGGAAGTCCGTGGACCTCTCGGATGGGCGCTGGACCCTTCCTGTGGAGGCCTGGAAACTGGCACCAACACCAACACAGGGGGATTGCCTCCACAGGGGGAAGATGATCCTAGATTTCGGTGTTGGTGGCAATATTTCGGTCACCTTGGGAGCCAGAATATGACCACCATCACCGAGATCGGGATCTTCTTCCCTCGGTGGAGGGACACCGCCCATCTCGGTGTTGGTGTCAACCCCTAAGGCCTGCGACTCCTCCCGAGGCGAGCGGAGAGCGCGCCAGGGGCGGGGCCCGAGGGACGGCGCCCGAGCCGTCAGGGAGCCGGCACCGATGCGAGAAACACCCGCGCGGGCCTCCGACCGTTTCTGTCTGTGCAACTCGGGCGTCGCTCTCATCGGGGGGCGACGGCTGGCGGCGCGCAGAGGCGGGCAGGGGGACGGCTTCTTTGAAAGAGGCTGCTTCTTGGAAGGCGCCAGCCTTACATCTTCAGCCAGGGCTCGCACCTTCTAAGAAGCAGCATGCTTCTGAGAAGCCTTCCCCCCTCCCCATACCCGCCTCTGCGCGCGGCAGAGATAAATGGGGGGGAGAAAGGTGCACTTCTCGTACCCGAAAGGCCTCTTTTGGGATCCCAAAGGGCCTCTTCAGGGGCGCCCTGAAGGGCCCCTTTTCCGCAGCCCTCGATCCCCCATGTATTGCCTCCCCCCCCCCTTGCGCGTCGGCCAAGCGATGCTTCGTCCTTCGAGTCCGGACAGGGCGACGTCCAGAGGGCCCAAAAAACACAAATAACGTCCACCCGCCTGCTTCGGGGCGCAGACGAAGCAAGCGGGACACAACGTGCGGCGGTCGTGCGCGAAGCGTTTCCTCCAGCCTCTGATTCCGAAGACTCAATTTGTTCGAGTCCCTGGAACCTGGTCCGTGGATGCCGAAAGTGTGGTAAAAAAAAGCTGCGGCGCGAAATTCTCGAGACGCACTAACCTCAGATCGGGTCGTCGCCCAAAATCGCCTCTCTTGGATCTTCCTGGCCCGTACCTGCGAGGCGGATCCAACCGTGGCGAAGAGAAGCCTCCGCGAACGCCAGAAACGGCGAACAATGCAAGAGAAGGCCAGCGTTGTCGCAACCAGCCCTCCTCCTCCTGCGAAGAAGGGGGAAGTGAGAGGCGAACAAGTATTCATCGCCAAAGGCAGCATATGTATGTAGACACATGATCGATACCTATACTCAGAGATTAACACATGTGTAAATACAGATGTGAGTATACATATATGTACCTATATGCGTATGCATACCCCAACCAAAAACAACACGAACAGGACGTGCATCTCCCGTATGTTTGACTCACGCGCTTGCCCGTTCTCTGTTTGACTTACATCATCGCTTTTGCAAAACCCATTATGTTCTTCCGTTCTCTTCCCCCTCCTCCGATGCATGTGCAGATGTACACTCAAGGAGGAAAAGGGAGCAAGGACTGGAGGCTCCATCAGAGCGAGCGTGCCACGGCGCAGTCGATCAGATAGCACAGCGTACAGAATGGAGACAGCGGGAGGGCGGACCGAGAAGACAACCCTCCTGCGCGACTAGCATCGCAGTACAGTGCCGAAAGAGCCCAGGCTGCGACCGACGGAGCGATGGTCACAGGATTCGAGGCACGAACGATGGGTCGACAAGATGCCGACAGCGCCCGTGCACAATGCGACGCCCTAGTCAGACCTGTCATCATCTCCGCGGGAGGGGATCCAGGACAGCACCGTGGCCCGTCGAGGGCCCGCGGAAACGGCGGGAGCTGGCAAATCATCGAGCACGCACGCGGCCGAGCCGCCAGCGGCCACGACAAAGCCCCCGAGGGACCCACGGGCGGGCGACGAGGGGCACCTGCTGTGAGATAGCACGGGAGGGCTCGAGTCGCACGCCAATCCTGGGACGCAAGCCCAGAGCAGCGTTCCGCAACAGACGGGCGCGCGTGGCAAGGGCGTTCCTGTTCACCGCATCGCCATGGCACTGCTGCTTTAATTTCTTGCAATGCCCGTCGGGCAACACAAGATAATATGCACAGGCTTGACAGATGACAACACGATCGTGCCTGACAGGCACGTGTCCAAAAGCCTCCAACATTTCCAACCCAGACTCTCTGCATCCGTGAGGAAAAAGGAGGGGGGGAGAGAGAAGGGGAGGGGAAGCGTCCATCAGAAAAGTATCAAAAACAAGAACTTATCACTGGGGAAATTCCAGCCTGAGACGCCCCCACAAACAAACACTCGAACTGAGGATCCATCGCGAGGTTCCCGAAACATCTACCTCACAGGAGGCCCCCGACTCCCGCGCGAGAGGGCCGAAAACAATACCCTCGGAAGGAAGCTCCCAACTGAGAAGCCCCCAGCACAAATCTGTCGAAAGGAAGCCCCAGGTTGAGAGGCAAAATAAATAATGCAAATGAGGCCCCCGCATTGGAAGTAAAACAAACAACGCAACGCCGGATTCTGAAAACTACGCAAAAAAACTAGAACAACGCAGACGCCAACGCAACGAACACACAAACGCATAACGCAACAAGTCCACGACGAAACTCCTCCCCATCACTTTTCCCTCCCCCATCCCACCAGTCCTCTCCTTCCCCGTCACCCCGCGGGCGACCCCCCCCCAGCCCACCCAGCCCCGCGCGCGCACCCGCGCGCGCACCCGCGCGCGCAACGACAACAACAACACCAACAACACCAACAACACCAACAACACCAACAACACCAACAACACCAACAACACCAACACCAACAACAACAACAACAACAATCATTTAAGACTGGGGACACTCCGTTCTCACCAGTGCCAGGGTTTTCATAGGAGGCGGGCAATACCCCCACTTTGTGGGGGGGCCGGTTCAAGCTCTACCAAATTTCCAAACGACTCTTCGCCACCACCCACACCCAGCTTCCCGCCCTATGACGTTCGGACACTTCACTTCGTGGCATGCGGACGACCGTGGCTACTATTCAGGGCCCCGCGGCCGACGACGACGGCGTGCGCGCGCGAAGAAAAAACGAATGTGTCCCGCATGGTATTATTTGACAGGGATGATGGCCCTGGCAGGTGCGCAACCGTTGTTGTTCGAAAAAGTTGCTCGCAAAAGCCCGTTTGACAGAAATGTTTAAAAAGTGTTACGAATTGAGATTTGACATTTTTTTGTTGAAAAACCATTGGTTTTTTGATGTTTTTATGTTTCCGAACACTAAGCTTTTGGAAGGATTTCGTCTTGCGCGCGCGAATGTCCACTTTACCTTATTTTTGCAAGGGATTCTTGAAATTTGATTATATTAGAACAAGAAATGTCATTTTATAGTGTTTTTTGCAAGGGAAAACGGATTACAACAAAACAACCGGATCTGGATCACATCGTTTTACCTGAGGCTTCCTCACGAAAATGATGAAAATGTGGCTGCGGCCTAGGCGGCGCGGGGGGGGCGTGCACCAGGGGGCCCAACAATAATTATTCTTTAGAAGTAATAATATTCAACAACAACAACAACAACAACAACAACAACAAGTTTAAGACTGTTCGCCCTTATATGCTCGAGTGTCCAATAACGCGTATTTCCCAAACCCTCGATACCCGCCCTCTTCGTCTTCGATCGAACCCCTTTTGGGGGGTATACTTTCTTCCCTGCAGGCCGGGCCCCGGCAAGCGGCGGGGCGGCCGCGGACCGTCGGCCTGGCCAGCGGCAGCGCTGATCGGCGGGGCGGCCGCGGACCGTCGACCCGACCCCAAGAGGGACGGACAGGGGACCGACCACGACGACGACGACGACGACGACGACGACGACGACGACGTCGAAGACGACGGCGACGACGACGACGACGACGACGACGGCGACGACGAGCGAAAGCGAGAGAGAACGACAGCAGGGCCACGAATTGCACGAAGTAGGCCACGAAGGGCGACAGCGGGGACACGAAGGGAATGCGTATGGGGCCGCGGAGAGCGCGAACGAGCGGGGGCCACGAAGTGCAGATAATGTGGGGCCACAAAAGGCACCTATGGGGCCACTGACGGTAGCAACTGGGCCACGTAGGACAGTGAGGGGGACACAAATGGCGACAGCGGGGCCACGAAGGGCACGCACATGGGGCCACAGCGGGTGCGACTCCTGGGCGCCTGGGTGTCGGGAGCGCGGCGCTTGGGAAAATTGCAGGAAATTCCAACGCGAGGCCATTCTTCAGTAAGTTGCAAGCAAGTCTCCAGCGAAAGCGCGACTCCAGAGCGCCCGGAGAGCGATTCCTTAATAAATTGTAACGAATTCCCCAGCGAAAGCGCGATTCCTGAATAAAATGCGAGGACGTCTCGGGCGGGAGCGGGGGTCCTGGCTAAATTGTAAGGAGATCTTAGGCGGGAGCCGTTGTTGTTGTAACCCGGGGGCCAGGGGCCCAGTTTGAGCAGGAAGGCTTCCCCTGTCAAAAAACAGGGCGCGAGCGTCGAGGGGCACGCTCTGATTGAAAAAACAATATGCGCCGGTGGGGGGGATCAACAATAATCAGCCGATCCGGCGTGTGAGTTCCTGAGAGCGTGGGCTTGACTCGCTCAAGCTTCGCTCTGCGGAGGGGGGGGGACCTCATTTCCGACCTAACTCAATGCTTCGCA